TAGTCTGGCCAAGCAGACTAGATAACACGGAGCGTAATCAGCCGTCAGAGCCAGCCGCCGCAGTTTATTAAAAGCTGGCATAGATTCCCAGTCATCCAGGTCATTGTCATTCCAAAAAAGTAAAAAGAAAACCAATGCACTGGACTGTGTTTCCAAGTTTGAAGACATCTCCCTTCCCATTAGTGCTGCGCCGATGCCATTTTCTGGCTCCGATACCCGATACCTGGCTGTGCAGTATTGGACGATACCGATACCATACCGATACATCTGTTTGAAATTACTGTGTGTGTGTATATAAAGAACTGCTTACAACTTGGATGTAAAATAATTACCATCATGACTTTGTCGAGCTGCTGCCTACCTTTGTGAAACAGGGAAAAGACTAATACAAAGTGAATCCAGTAGAACTTTTTATTGCCTGCCTGGAATGGATAACAATGAATAAACTCTTGGCTCTCAAAATGGTATCGGTACTGGCCCAGTCGCCACCATTTTAGTGCAGGATCGGAGCCCCGGCCGATACTGGTATTGGTGCAGCACTACTTCCCATCCAGGAATCTTCTTCATTTCAAAATGTCAGAAATAGCGTTTTGCATGCAATTTGCATGTTTTCTAAAGGCGTTGTTGGGCTACTGTATAAGAGCCTCGAACTCAACGCTATTTCTGACATTTTTAAATGAAAAAGCTTCCTGGATGGGAAGCAAAACATCTTCAAATTTGGAAACAAAGTTGAGTGGATTGTTTTTTAAGTGTTTTGGATTGATAAAAAGCAACTGAGGAGGCTGCACGGCATAGTGCATGATAGAAAAAATACACCCTCCTGTCACAGGTGAATGGTCAGGTGATTGGATCCAAGTTTGTTAAATAAAAACGTCCTCATCCTATCTCTCAGGGAGTGCGTTGTCACCCTGTGAAAGAATCTTAGTTCAGTAGCTTGTATCAGGATCTCATCCTTTGAGTCATGATCCATATTCTATGGCCATAAATAAGGATAGGAACGTAGACCAGCTGGTAAATCAAAGGCTTTGCTATGTGGCTCCTCTCTCTCTTCACCTCAGACCGATGTAGTGTCCACATTATAGCAGCAAACATGCTGATCCGTCCCTCTATCTCAGACAGACAGACAGGCTTAAGCTAGGTAATGTTAGACTTGCTACTTAACCAATAGCTGCATTGTATTTGACTTCAACTGGATCCAAAAAATTTGTGTTTTTAGTAGTTTTGAAAGAATTTTCAACAATATGGAACAATATGCACTTAGGCAAGAAGGTCCTGGGTTCAAATCCATGCATGTTCTGCCCATAGATGCCTTCTTTACTCACTCTGATTTCCCTCCAACAATCCAAAAACATTAATGTCTTAGTTATTGGTATTCGATGTAAAAATGTGCATGGTTCTTTATTAATGTTGCCTCTGTGTTGCATGCATAACTTTCCAACCTGTCCAGGCTGCACCCTGGCTCCTTACCAGACCCCCGTCCTACACATACAGACACATTTAATACAACTTTAATGCTGAACAGTCCAAAAAGTATTTAATTCTCTACTACACAATGTTTACTGATCCTCTGAGTGGGCCAAGGGTTTATTGTTATTATCAATAACTCTTGTTACATTATTATGTTTAATACAATAATGCCCTGGCTTAGTTATTAGCTTATAAAAATGAACTAGAATCACCTTAGTTGAGCATCTTTTGCAACAGAGAGATGCCATAAATGTACTGAGTTGTAATATGAATGCATCAGGAAGCATTTGGCTGAGGTATTATGATTGAGGCTTTGACAGAGGGTAAAGATCATCACACAGTTGAGCAGTTTTACACAGATGGCTTGTAATCACAGTGGCGACATAAGACTTTCATCACACTGTATCCAGCTTTATTTGGGCACAGCTGGGCAAAGTAATAGGAGTGGCAAAAAAAGAACCGTTTTTAATTATTATTTGTTATAAACAGCTATATATACTATCACAACCACTGGTATTGCATATTTTATTGCAGCTGCATTCAGCTGTTAGAACACGTACTCACAGCCAAAACCTTCAACAGAGTATAAGTTTTGGCCTTGTACTCTCCTCAGAGTGTTAGTAACAGTACTTGAGTCTAAAAAACATAGACTAGGCCTTGAGATACCAACCATGAACACCACAAACAAGATTAGTGACAACATACAGCACTGGCAGAGTCCAACCTGCATTGGGAATAAGCTCTGCTATGCCCTGGAAATAAAAAAAAAACACAAAAAAATAAAAACAAGATGGGTTTAAAAAGCTACCCACATACCCTATTCTCCTACAGACACATCCCACAGTTGCTTCAGGCGACAAGATGAATAGCATTCTCTAGATTCACAAAAATACATGTTTACGGGACTCAAACTCCAGGAAACCCCTTCAGCAAATGTATAAAAGTAACTTTCTGGTTTAGCTGGCCTACTCTTCCAAGGCCATCACTAAAGCCTCTCAGCCACTCAGAAATCTGAATGTTTTACTAAAAGGTGTCAACTTAATATTCGCAGAATGTTTTGGCAATAATCTTTAATTTTCATCATAAAAAAATCACCTATTTAAGCAGTAAAATAATAAACTTAGACAGATTTATTTTGTCATTTTATATACACGAGTGTAAACAAAGTGAAATTTTGTTTTAATAAATAAAATAATAAATAAATAAATAATGATGCAGAATGTAAGAGGCATCTTTGTTAGTAACCCTCAAGTGGATTAAACCGGTTCAGGCAGACAATGACTCTATGAAGGAGAAAATCAATACACATGATTTATTAATGAAGTAACAGATGTTAATCATGAATAAATGTGTACACAAGTTCAGCTTCAGGATATTCATAGTCTTCCTGCATGCTGCAGAGATTGACCCTGAAGCTGTAGTTGTGTATGAAATTTGAAGAAATCCTCTTTCTAACTGGTTAACTAATTATTATAAAGCCTTATTAATAAATTAAAGCAAGGAACACCATAGTAGTGGAAGGAGCATTAATTTAAAAAATGTCTAAAGTAAACTTTAAAGCTTTGATGTATAAAAATCTTCCTGTGCATGTATGTGAAAAGAAAGCTCTATCGTTGCACAGGATGGAAAAAAAACATTGTATAATGTTGCTTTTATGAAATGCTTTCTTTGTTAGTGTTACACCAAATGCAACTGCAGATATGCTTTGAAAATATCCACTTTTTTCATCACTTGAAAGATTATTTCCCAGACAGCAGTGGCCATGAAACAGCCTCATTTCTTTTCTATTTTTCCATCAATAACAGTGGCCTTAACTGAGAACAATGAAGTTCACTGAGTTTTATCTTTTTATGGTTAATTTCTAAACTCCAGGATGAGTCATCCATGCCCTCTTTTAGTAATTTTCTAGTCCATCCACTCCTGTTAAGGTTAAACACTCTTCCATGGTTTGTCCGTTTAATGACACTGTGATTTGTACGATCTCCTTTTTTTTAACACATTCCAGACTGATATGTAATATTATTTTTCTTTTTTTCTCATTTTCTCTTCTTTTATTTTTTGGGCAATAATGCATTACCTTTTTTAATCTTTTATCCCACTTGATATCAAACATGTTGTATTTACGTGATTTCTTGATCTTTATATCTCTATTGGTTGTCAGACCTGGAATTAGCCAATTCCAGGTCTGGATAACTGAACCAAACATGTGGTTCATCACATTATTTATTGAGTGATAATTACTTTGCATTTCTATCAGTTATAAAACTTACCTGGTGTCTCTTCTGTTAAGGATTCATAAACTGCCATGGTCAAATTGTTCCCTCGATCTTTAAGAGAGGATAAAGTTCTCATCTAAAAACTTATTTTTATTAACTAAAGTTATATCTTTATCTGATTTTAAAATGGATGACTTGAAACATTTTAGAGTCAAAAGAAAAACAGAAGAGAAATCTGTAATAGTGAAAATAAACATGGCAGCATATTTTCTGCTGTACTAAGTTTGGTTTATTTCCAATATTATTTCAAACTTCCCTTTTACTAAACTACCTTATTTCTAAAAGCTTCATGTTTTGTTTTACATTTGGGTTGTTAATCCTAACACCTCCCCCCCCTTTTTTTTCTACATTTTAATACATTATTTAACCTTTTGAAACTATTGGCCTAAGATGTACATAAGCAGCATTATGCGACAGCTTCTTTCCATTTAACCAAGAATGACAAATATTAGCATTTGGTATTATTGCAATGATGAATGATGGTAATATTCAAGGCAAACGTTGCCAGCTTTATTTGACCCCACAGTTCCCCAGTAAAGCAGTCTGAAATTAGCGTCATGCCTCAGTAAAAAGAGTGGCTAACAATTACAGCAAAGTCTTGGTACTGCAATGAATCCATTGATCACCATCAGAGAGGCTTTTCTCTCCATAATTATTAATTTTGTGACATTTAAATTAGAAATGATGTATGGTACTGTGTTCTCTGCACATAAGGTCTTTTGTCATCAGAGAGGTCTGATATAATATTAATAGAAGGAAATGTGCTGGTATTTTTCTTTTTAATCTAAAAATGATCTTTATGCTATGCTTGTTTTTTTGTTTTTTTGTAGTTGTCTGTGATTTTTCCAAACTTGAGGAAAGGAAGTCACCAACGAAGAGTCATCAACTTTCCCTCCTTTCCTCTCCTTGTTCTTTCCATCTCTTTATCCCCTTCTGGAGGGTTGAAGCCATGCCAATCATTTCTGCAAACACAGGTAGACTGAATTAAATATTCCACCTACTACTTCACATTAGTTACTGTTTCAGATACTTGATCAAAAAAAAAATAACAGGAGTGCTGGTAACAGTTGGATTTTTATGAACTATTGGCAGGGCTACATGAGACTCTGGCCATTCTCACATCTCAGCTCCACCCTGATGCCAACCACAAAGAGGACCTGGTCTTCCTCCGAGACGTCTTCAGTGAGAAAAGCATTGGTTACCTGATGAAGGTAGAGGAGATATGTCAGATTAGAAATCTAAGTTTTATCCACATTTCTGTGCCTATTGTTGACTTATGTTACATCATGTCTTCCATTGACAAGAAAAAACATTCTCCATTGCACAATTAATGCAATTTACAACAGATAAACAAAGTATAATCCTTTATCCACAAAATATTGCTATATGTAATGAAATGTAGTTTACGTTATTTGGTTCAGAAGGTATAAGTAAAGTTGCATGTTTAGAGTTAAGAGGACAAATAACGCTAGGGAGCAGATCAGCTGCTATCAGAGCTCTTATAGCAGCAAATTTAACCTTAGAAATCACTGTGATTCCTTGGTCAGCAATGTCTGTCCACCAATTCATTTTTTTTTCTATCACTACATTGGATTTTAGCTCAGACTTTGCCACAGCATCAGGACATACAGTGACTCTCGAAAGTGCACAAACTGTTTTTTTAAATCCAGGTTTCGACCCTTTAAATGCTTTTAGGACTTTTCTGACAGATATTGGGCAACACCATTAAAAAACCATGTTGTATAATTGTCCAAACCATTCAAATAATACGTTTCCAAATTTCCTTTTGATTCAGTTTAAACAATCAATTCCTCTTGAGTTCATATCTACAACTAGATCTTAAATTTGATCAGAATACTTCTTATGACTGCTTAAAAAAAAAAAAAAACATTAACATCCGCTGGTCATATGTTCGGGGGTAAACTCAACATGTGCTCTCCATCTGTTGTTGTTGTAAATATACTCAAACACAAAATGAGCAAAAAAGAAATCATAAACCAGAAAAAATAACTAATACTATGCCAGCAGGACATGGTTATCTTTTAGTGAAACTTTGTGTGCAACTAGAGTGAGCTAGTGGTGTCTAAATGTTAAAAATGTCATACCACGGGACTATATCACTTTAATGTAGTTTTGCATACCAAAAAATTATATATTAACACAAAAATTTAATTTCACAATTTTCAACTAATTAATTATCCTCTCCGTTAGACTCTTTTTACTTACATCTGTTTAGTTTCTCTTATTTTCCTGCAGATCCACGAGCGACTAAAGCAGTATGAGAAATACAGCCCCACTCCTGTCCTACACAGCGCCTCCTGTCTGGCAGAGGATGTAGGTGCAGTGAAATTCCCCTCCCAATACCTCCAAATACTCTTTAAATATCACAGTTTTTTTTTTTCTGTGTGACACTGATAAATTCATCTGGTACTTTAATGAAAAATATGAAAGCAATAAGTGTGATTTGGCTTGTTAGTTGGCAGAAGAACTTCAGAGCGGACCGCTGCAGGAAGATGAGCAAGAACTTCTCCTTTTGCTGAACACGCCCCACCTGAAGGTAGATGCACAAACATTCAGCCATAGACAGGCTTAAAAAGGCTGACCATTATTATGTTCATTTAGTTTTTATTACATTTTGAACTATTTTAGGATGCACCCCGTATTTCCCTTCCGCTGAGCTTCTCTACATCTTCTTATTTTTTTCGGCGATCACATTAGAGTCAGAATTGTCTTCCTAAGCTCAGACAGTATTTCTAAGTTAAGCATGAATAATTTTGGTGGGGAAGGCTTTTTATATTGAAAATAAAATAGGCATTATGTCTCAAGGTTTTTGTGATTTTCCGCAACAATTACTTCTCCGATATTTGATTGTTTTGGTTCTGCTCACTATTAGCTTCTGGAGGATTATTGATCTACTTTTACACTTTTTTTTTGTAACCTTTTGGTTCATGCAGGCAGTGCTTTCAGCTCACGACATTGTTGCCCAAAAGAAATTTGACCCAGTTCTTCCACCGTTGCCTGAAGACTTGGAGGATGATTTTGAGGAAGAGTCTGTAAAGATCGTCCGTCTGGTCAAGAACAAAGAGCCTCTGGTAAGGATAATTGCAAAGATGATTTTTTTAATATTTATATTAAACAGTTAGAAACTTTGCTCCAGTTTGCTCTTGGGATATATGACAGTTCCTCTACTGGTTAATTTATTTTGAGGTTATTAGGACCTTTATGTTTATCAAGCAATCAAACATGTCCATGATTTTAAATATCTAATTTTTTACAGCCAGCTGTAGGTGAAACAGGCACCAGCTGTGGCGACAAGGCCAAGGTTATTGTAAGAGGAAATAATAACATTGTACCGACCTGTTGCTATGAAGAGAATGTTTGGCGGAACCAATGTGACGTCGAGAACAAATTAGCATGTTGGTGGTAGCATCATGCTGAGGTCCCATCCCAGGGGTATTGAAATGTGGCAGATTTTTGATGGTAAAAGGAAGGAAAGGACTTCTTTCAAATTCTTTAATATAACCAGTGGATTGTTGTGGGACAAACTAGTGGTTCAGCAACAGTAAACTCAAAAAGATACATCTGGTTTTGGAACAGGAACATTTTTTTTAACAATAATCTCCTAGAATTGTCCGGAGCTTGAAAATATATTCACTTGCTAAAAAGTGAATATTCAAATTTTACCAATCTAACTCAAAAGAGTGCTGAAATATGCAGTATGATTTAATGATGAAGCTAATTAAAGACTTTAATTAAAGTGCAGCTTGTTAAGGGACAGTTAAAAAAAATATTCATGATGGATGCATATATTTAAGCCTCTACATCTAAATGATTGCTTTTAAGTTGAGAAAAATCCAAAATAAACCCTCTGCTTAAATCAAAGCATCTGTTTAATACTGCATGAATCAATTGATTGCCTTCCTGTTTTTTATATTGTGTCGGGATTATTTGATTATACCAGTGCCATTTGGTATTTTGAAATAAAATGTATTTTTGTTATTATAATTTATATTAGTATTATTTTTTTATTTTTACAATAAATTCAAACGGATGCTCAAAGTTTGTTTCTTAAGCTAAAGTTATTGGATATTATTTCATCTTGCAAAAATGTATCAATATAATCTGTATAAGAAATATGTTGTAAATAAATATATATATTTTTAGTAGCGCTTAAATAAATAATCAGATTAATCGATTATTGAAATAATCGTCACCTAATTGAATAATCGATTAATCCTTAACCGGTGCATAGAGACTGTAAAATATGCCTTTAGCTGACCCAATTAGTGCAGCTAATATACTAAAACTGTAAAAAAAAAAAAAAGTCTATAAACATTTTGCATTTAATATTAAAAAAAGGTTTTTGTGTATCAATATGCTCTATCCAGAACTCTTCAAGTGGAAAAGTTTTAGTTTCACCTGGTTTAATGTGTGTTTAATGTGTAACATCTTCTTTAGGGACTTTTTGCTATTCAATTGTTAATCAATTAATCAAAAAAATAAATAAATGACAGATTAATTGATTTGCAAAATAATTAGTTGGAGCCCCAATTTTTATATAATTTCTTTATCCTTTAATAGGGAGCAACCATTCGGAGAGACGAAGCCACAGGAGCCGTAATCGTGGCCAGAATAATGCGGGGAGGGGCGGCTGACCGCAGCGGTAAGGGCTTTTTATTGGAAAAGCTTTCAGTTATTTTAGAAAAGAACATTCAGTGGCACAGCGGCATGAAGGGGCCATATGTAAATAATCCTACAGCTACTATATAGCATACAACGGTAATCTCTTTCTCTTATTATGCTGGACAATGATGTCATCAGAGCTGTAACATGGAGAGAGCAGTGGAGAGATTAAACAGTGTGGCCTATTGACCTGTCAACAGGCATCAAATCCTTGAGATTATGGCCACAAAATTGCATATTTCCAGATTACAAATGACTGGCTGTTTCCATGGAGATGTTGTTGATCTGTTGCCAGTAGAAAATAACTCTGCTTCCACAGAACAGCTGCCTGTGGTTTGAATTGTTTATGTTTTTTTGTTTTTTTTATTAGGTCTGGTGAATGTAGGAGATGAGCTGCGAGAGGTGAACGGAAATCTGATTACCCACAAAAGGCCTGATGAGATTAGTCAGATCCTGGTAAAGAAAAACTACTTTTCTACAAGTACACTTGTTTGTGCTGCTGATGCTGATGTTTACGCTTGACTGCATTTCTCTGCTGATGTCTGATCAGTCTCAGTCCCAAGGGCCGATCACACTGAAAATCATCCCGGCTTTGGCAGAAGAAGACAGACTGAAGGAGAGCAGAGTAATATTTACATTTATTAGTATCAAGATCAATCCATCCATACATACTTGATAAAATATCATAGATTATTTAATGTCAACAAAGGTCTATCTTCGGGCTATGTTTGACTACACGCCATTTGAGGACAAAGCAACACCGTGTCAAGAGGCTGGACTTCCTTTTAAGAGAGGAGACATTCTTCAGGTCGTCAGCCAGGAGGATGCCACCTGGTGGCAAGCCAAGAAAGTTGGTGACTGCAACCTTCGCGCTGCCCTCATCCCCTCTACACAGTTTCAGGAGAGGTAAGCTCTCCTCTTTACTGTTTATATTTATGTATGTGGGAATAATTAACATTTTTTGGTTTTGTTTTTCTTCCAGGCGTCTGAGATACAGAATGAAGATGAATTCCCTCCCTGCTCCTCTGTCCCCCAAGGCTGCAGCATGTAAGAGTTGTTTACCTCAGTAATCTCAGAAAAGCTCATCACGTATGAGCCTTAACTTCAAATGCACATGACGCTTGCATCAAATGGAGAGTCCCTGTAATATATGTCAAATCCAATCTAGCAAGGGCATAAAGAAAAAGAGATTATTTAAAAAAGATTGGTTTCATCTTAGGCTGCACGGTGGAAAAGTTTTTAGCACTGTTGCCTTGCAGGTTTGATTCCTGGTATTTCTGCATTGGAATTTGCATGGTGTCCCTGTGCATACGTAGTTTCTCTCCAGGTACTCCGGCTTCCTCCCAAAGTCCAAAAACATGACTGTTGTTAATTGGCTTCTCTAAATTGTCCTTAGGTGTGAGTGTGTGTGGCATGGTTGTACGTCTATGTCTCTATGTGGCGACCTGTCCCAAGTGGACCCCCATAAGCAGGAGAAGATGGGTGGTTTAATCTCTAAAACGAGAATAGATATTGTTTAAAGAGAAAAAATTATCCCCAACCTGTTGTAGCATAAAAGTTGTGGCAGACATTTTTTTTTTCAGTTAAATGTAGGATTTTTCTGTAGGAACTGACAAAGCGTGGACAAACCTGTAAAAAGTATGGAATTAGCTGTTACTATTATCTAGCTAAGCATGTATGGAAAAATAATATAAGAGCTTTTATTTTCACAAGGTCCAACATTTGGTCCCTTGTGTCTTTTTTACATTTCCTTCCTTCCTTCCTTCCTTCCTTCCTTCCTTCCTTCCTTCCTTCCTTCCTTCCTTCCTT